GCCCCGCCCCGCCCCGCCCCGCCCCGCCCCGCCCCCGAGGCCCGCCACGCGCGTCCCACGCACCCGGTGTCAAGTGGAGCGCTCTGCCAAAAGTCGCATGCATGGGAGGAGCCAGTGGTTGCGGCCTCTCTGCGTTGCGCCATGGCTGCGCGTCCCCCCCCCCCCCCACCCGCAGCGCTCCGTCACTTGCGGGCCGCGTGCGCGTCGTCCTCGTGGTCCCCGTCGTCCCGGACGCGGCCCTCGCCGAACAAGGAAGGACTCGAAACTTGTCGGCACCGCGTCGAGGCCGGGCGTCGAGGCCGGGCGGCGCGACGCGCTAGGTGGGCCTGAAGGCTGCGGCGGCGCGCCTATCCGCAGAACACGGCGCCCTTTCCCGCCACGCTGACTCCCAACTCGTCGCTCTGTCTCCAGCGGCGGATCCAGAGCCGTCCAGAGGGAGGGGCCAAGTAGCACCTTTTGTCTGCTTACAGTGGAAAAGTATGGCCTTTGACTACACCAAAGGCGGCAATTTAGGAGCCAAGGGGGCCAATTGTGCCCCCATCCCCTTATTTTCCACGAGCTGGTCCCTAAGGGTGCGAGAGAGACAGCGCCATTGTTCCGAATCAAGCTGCATGGATCGGGGAATCCTGGCTTTTTGGCCCGGCGCGGTATCGCGGTGTGTCGGGGAGCGGGGTTCGTCGCCGATACCTTGATGACGGCACGGCGGCACGGCGGCACGGCCCGCCCTAAATGCATTGGGACCTTCGGCTTTACGGCGGGGATCAAAAAACAAGTACGATGACGTAAAAGTCGAGATGGCCGCGTGCCGGCGTCGGGCGGTACAGGCGGGCGGCATAACCCCGAAGTCGCTGCTCGGCGTCCACGACGTCGGCCCACGACGTCCACGAGGCCCAAGACGTCCACGACGTTCACGACGTCCACGACGTCCACGACGTCCCCGAGGTCCACGTTCACGAAGGTCCACGACGTCCACGAGGTCCACGACGTTCACGACGTCCACGACGTTCACGTCCCCGAGGTCCACGTTCACGAAGGTCCACGACGTTCACGAAGGTCCACGACGTCCACAGCGTCCACGGCGTCCACGGCATCCACGACGTCGACAGTCCACGGCGTCCACGGCGCCCACGGCGCCTACGACGTCCCCCTGCCGTTCCGGTCGGCCAGGTACGGGCCTCGGCCACGGGGCAGTGCAGCGGAATGGGCGGAACCAGGGGGTATTAGAAGAGCGGAAACTACTCGCAGTGCAATAATGTGCAGCCCTGGCGGCAGCGGAGCCGAGCCAGCCGGCCGGCCCTGGAAACCCTGGAGCCCTGGAGCGGCTTGTCGTCCGGCCGCGCGCAACCGCCGTGGCGACTGGCGACATTGTGCCGCGGCACCGCGCAGCACCGCGCAGCACGAGGAGAAGTACGAGACGAGGGAGAGCGAGAGGGAGAGACGCCGTTCTTGGTTTTACGGCCGCGTCGTTCTACGCAGATGTCTATCAAATTTCACTTCGCCCGGCCTCTGCTGCGCCCCGGCCTCGGCCCCACCGGCCCGGCCGCCACGGCCTAGCTCCAGCCCCGCTCCAGCCCCGCTCCAGCCCCGCTCCAGCGACCAACGACCCTCACGTAAATGGTTACCGTGGCGTGTAGTTCCTTCTCGGTGGCTGCGCGGTCGGTCGGCCGGGACGCCGAGCCGCCAGACCGTCCCGTCGAGCGAGTGCGTCGGCGGGGTTGCCTACCACCACGGCGCTCCCCGCCGCCGAGGCCGCGCGGCCGTTGCCAGTCGGACAAAAACTCCGGACACGTTTTCAGCCCTCTGCGCCTCGCAATGAGCCCGATCTGAAAAATTCATATCATCTTCAGACTGCTCTTTGGACGAGGAATCGGATGGTGCACGGTAAAAACGGTTCCTGGTTTTCCAAACTCCCTGGAAATTGCTTTTATCTCTACCATAGGGTTCCTGGGAAAACCAGGTACCGTTTTTACCGTGTGGGGTCATGTGTTAAGTTCCAACTATTATTAAAGCCGATTCAGAGGCAGACTAAAAAGTAACCGAAAGTCCGTTCTTTTGCCATTGGGCGACGCTGCGACGCTGCACCTCGTCGTTCGTTAGGCGGCCCTCCCACACGCCTTAATTGGCACGAATAATGATAACAACGAGGTGCATAACGGGCCGCAGCATCCGGTCGCTCTGTCTCTCTCGCACTCACGGGCCGGCCGGGGGCGAGGCCGGGGGGCCGCAGCGGTGCGAGAGAGACAGAGCGACGTCGTTCGGAGTCAGCCTGTGCGACCCGGGGAGCCGCGTAATGAAGGGGCACGGATGAGAAAAAAGGCGGAGGGGAGCCAGAGCAATTAATGAGTGAAAACTGTCGTCATAGATCACAGCGCACACTACTGTAAAAAAAAGTCAAAAATAAAATCATAGTCTTAGTAGCGTTTAACACCGGCAGGCGCGGATACAGGGTGGACGGTTTTACTCTTCCCGGAGAACACCATATCTAGGGACAATGCGTGCCCCTCTCGCTCTTCCTTTCGCGTTGAGGCTTAGGGATGGCGTTCGCTGGGAAGTGACTGCACTCGGGGAGTGCTGCAAGGGGCCTAGCAGGCTGGCAGGCCCAGCACACTGAGAGTCGTCGCTCCGTCTCTCTCACACCTGCAAGAGGCGCTCCGCGAGAGCGAGAGAGACAGAGCGACGACTCTGGGAATCAGTCTGCAGGACAGGGAGGGCGGGGACGTTCCATAACCCTGAAAGCAAAGGCACGCCGCGCGTATTTCCTTAATGAAAAAGCCACGCACCGCCGCGACCGCCTCCCGCACCATTCGCTCACTCAATTACTTACCTGTGTCACGTCACCCTCACGTGAACACACACACACACACACACAGAGAGAGAGAGAGAGAGAGAGAGAGAGAGAGAGAGAGAGAGAGAGAGAGAGAGAGAGGGGGGGGAGAGAGAGAGAGAGAGAGAGACATACACACACATACATACATAGAGTCTCTGTCTCTCTCACCGCACACAGACACACTAGGACGCACTGACAGAAGGAGAAAAGATTTGGGGCATTCCCTGCCAGACAAAGGCGACTTTCTGATCCTTACGCCGATATATTTACCTTTCTCTGCAACAGAGGGTAGTTGGCCGTCGAAACAAAATCTTAACATTGAGCATGACAATAAAGACACAACACTTTTGGAGGGAGCGCTACTTTGGTTGGCATTGTCTTCTGGCTCCGCGGATGATGATTCGAGCGAGCCGCGTTTTGATTGCGGCTGCAGATTGGGAGTCGTTTTCGCCGCGCCGTCTCTCTCGCGCCTGCACGACGCACCCCAAGAGTGCGAGAGAGACAGAGCGACGACTCTCGAAATGAGCCCGCTGCCGACACAGCGATGACGGGAAGGCGCTCGACAGTGCGCTCAAAGTGAATGAGGCCCGAAAGAAAGCCGGCAGGTTGGAGTAAATAAATCATGACGCTAAATTGTTGAGAAGTTGCAGGCCGAATAATCAGCCCCCCGCAAAGAAAAAAAAAAAAGAAAAAAAGAATGGAAGGAACCGAGAACAAAGGGAGCGACGGTGGGGGGATGGAACGACATGGCGCGCGTGTGCGCAATGTTTCTCAGAAAAAAATTGCAATGCGAACACATTGCTCGGCATTCCAGGGCAAGGGCGGATCCAGAGACGGGCTAAGGGGGGCGATGGAGCAAAAGCTGCCCACCGCACTGAAAAACCAAACGTGGTCTAGGCCACACCACTGGTGCGGTCAAATGGGTGCCATTTTGACCGCATCAGTGTCTAGACCACGTTTGGGCACATTTTTGGTGTGGTCCAGACCACGTTTGGCCACGTTTGGTGTGGTCTAGACCACGTTTGGTTTTTCAGTGCAGGGGCGAGGTGCGACTTTTTGCCCGCCTTCCAGCCTGGATCCGCCCCTGGCGACGAAAGCGCTGTTCGGGCCGAGCCGAGGCGAGTCCGGGGGGGTCGGCGCGGGAGGTCGAATAATAATCGGGCCACTGCCGGGCCGCGCCCTCCGAGTCAGAGGAGTCGGTCTGTCTCTGTCGCACTCATGGGGCTCATGGCGCGAGAGAGACGGAGCGACAAACCGATCTTCTGAATCGCCAGGCAGACACGCCGACGACATTATTATTCGAACCATAAATCGCACCGACGGCGCGGACGCGGACGGCGCCCCGCTGCTGGCACACTGTTAAAAAAACCGTACCAGTTTACGACATTTGCTACAGTATATTTGGCACGATACAATAAGCCACAGCACCGTACCAGAATTTTATAATCATTTAAGGCATACGATCCAATTGTTGAGGCCAAGTACGACCCATACCGTATTCCACAACGTGCTTTAAAAATGCATCATATCCATCATCGAAACAAACAAACTTAACGACCCTAAATTTTCCCTCTGTTACAATATTGCACTGAATCTAAGTAACCAAAGCCCTTATTATATTCTTAATTTTAAAGGTTCATGCACTCCTTTTAAAAAGCGCGCTCAAAGGTAATGGAAATGAGTTGTTTTGATATGATTGTTCGCATTAAGACATTACATCAGTTTTGACAGAAACCCAAAATGAGAGGGATTAGAATGTAGAGGAATTTTCAAGTAGAGTCACTGTCTATTACTTGCCTGTTTAATTTAGAGCCTCAGCACTTATGTTAAACTTTCTAGTGAAACACACTTTCAAAGTCCATCCCTCTCCAAGGGCCAAGATAAACAAAACAGCAGTCCCTTGTGATCTCAGAGTGGCTTCGAGGCCCACATTTTGTTTCATTTATCTCATAACAATTTTTGGTGCCGTCTCCAAAGAGTAACACTCCTAAAAAAGACACAAACTTGAATGTTCTTCATCAAAACATTAGAACTTGAAGTAAGACACCACCATTTTTTGTTGTCTGCTGGTGACTGTAAATAAACAAGCGCTGCTGCCAACCTTTGTCTACTGCTGTGCGTAGCTGTGCGCGCCGCTACGGGAAGGGACTCAAGTCGGGGAGTGTTGGTACGAGTGACATCATAGGTGTTTACGTTTCTCAACAATCCAGAAACGTAGAACTTTTTCTTTGAAAGAGAGAAGTTTACATGGAGTGTTATACAGGAAATTCAGTGCCCATCACTATGAATAAGATACTTGCGCCGGAATTTATCCCCAGGTGAGAAGTTTGGCCTTTGACCGTCTGTGTCGTTACCCGTAGGAAGTGTTTGAGGTTAAGTGACATGCAATACTGGCTGTGTCGTTAGTTGCTCGTTCTGACATGGTTCACACGTTTTTTACATTGACCGGGCTGCAAGGCACTAGCGTGTTTGTACGAAAATAGATTATTATTGAGCCCAAGTCCAGCCTATGTCAAGAATCAGCATCCAGTGTTGAAATTTATTTCATTCAATGTGTCTCATGTTTGTTTGTTTTTTTTTTGGCAGGAGTTTGAGAAAGTTCAGGTCATGGCAATGGGAATGTTAGTTTTGGTCTGACTCACAAGGAAACAGTGTTCGAGTCTCACATCACCATCGGAGTATTGCCAGTTGGGACTGTCGATTACATCTGTCTACTCGATACAACTTGAAATGTTGTATGTCCAAGGTAACTGTTATTATGAATTTAATAATTTCATGACATGTTTCACATTATTTTCCTCTCAATATTTTTGTATTTCATTTTGTTTTTCAGAAGTTTGTGGTGCTGACAACAAAGCCGAGGTTATTCTATTGGTCGAACTGGAAAGGAAGATGCGCTTGAGTTCCAAGTTATCGCAAGAGCCATTCTGAAATCTATGATGTGAAGCCCTGTATGCTGTGTTGAAGGTATACACATTTATCTTTTCATTTTAAGTTCAGCAAGCAGTGCATTGTTTTTCTCTTCTGGTTTGTACCTTTACTTTCTTTTTTCAGCTGGCTGTTGTTGGAAGTACCTCTTTGACTTAGTTAATTGAAGATTCATGATTTAAATCGATAAAAAGACTGACATCAGCATATCTCTGAATGAAGTCAAGCATCAGTCAAAAATTGTAGAATCTTTTAGTTTTTTATTTTAAAAATAAGTATCTTAACTAATTCTGTATCATGTACTTCATATTTGTTTTAAATACGTGATAATACATGCCAGCTCCATACTTGATTGAAATTATTTATAACATTCCCGACAAGCCTGTGGCGTATGGAGATTTTTTGCACTTTTCTTGAATTTTGTACGATGAGCCTTGGTACAACAAAACTAACACGGTGAGCTCCTGCAGTTATTTTTAATCGTGGTGAGATATGGTACGATATCCTTGTACGGTTAAACTGTACTCTCATCGTACCTGGTACGATACTGGTACGACATGATTAGGCAAGTTGTCTACCATCAAAGTACCGTAGCTTTTGTCGTGGTTTTTTCTAACAGTGCAATGACTGCGTATTACATCACGGCGTCGTCGCTACCCCTCGCTGCCGGGCTGCCTGCCGGGACGTCCCGCGCGCGGGGTATGGACTGTTCTGCGAGATGAGGGCTCTTCCAGCACTGCGCACAACCTCGCCCTGTCTCTCCCCCACCCCTACGGAGCGGCCCCTGAGTGCGAGAGAGACGGGACAGGCCACCGTTCGTTGGGGATCAGCCTGCACCAGCCGAGAAGAGTGCAGTCTGTCTCCGTCGCTCTCGTGGCTCTGTCCCTGCGAGAGAGACGGAGTACGATAACACTTTTTCCGAGTCCAGATTCGTCATCAGCGTACCCGTTTCCCATTGAAACGACGTGCAGCACGATTTATTTCGACAAACCTGAATTTTGTACAACTTGGTGTTCCAAACAGCGTTCGGAACGGGCTCCCAAACGTTCCCTGCGTGTTCATGCACGTCAGGTAAGGTGTGGAGAAAGGTTCCGGATGAAATGCAATGGCTTCGTAGCACGTTTGCGGCGTTCCAGAAGAGTTTCAAGAAAATGCACTGAAATGTACGAAAATGTTCAAAAGAGTGTTCAAAAGTGTTCGAATCAACTGTCTGAGCCTTGATTCGTGTTCAGCACCATCGACTTGTGCGGAAAAGTCGCCTCGCATGATTAAATAGCTCCAATAACACGCATTTAAAAAATAATGTTCAATTTGTACAAATTGAACGGCCCAGGTTGAACGGGCCGTCAAAATCAAAAAGAACATGGACAAAATCGTTTATTAGGCCTTTTAGAACGTGTGTGCAAAATTTCATGCTTCTTTCACGAAATGCGCGATTCTTACGGCTACCACGGCCACTAGACTGGCTGGCTGGGATTCGGCCGGGACGTGAGCGAGTGGGTCGGGCGTCGGGCGGCAGCGGGCGGCAGTCTGTGCAGTGGCGCGTGGTCCGCCCGGAACGACGGACTTGTCTTTAGCCCGTTCTTTCGCCCAATCGCCCGCGCCGCCGGCTCAGTGGCCCTGGCGGACCCACTGGCGGGGTAGCCACGCAGCGGCTGGGTACACCCAGGGAATGATTTACTTGTTACAAAAAAAATTGCATCAGCACAAGACAAAATTTGTCTCACGGCTGGGCAAAGCAGGTGTTGTGATTGTTAAAAGTATGTTCTCTGTCTCCCTGCTATGCAAAATTTATCTCTGGTCGAGACAAAATTACGTTTCTCAAGAAGTTTTTAATCAATTTGATTCAGACCCAGCATCAGCGATGTGACGTCAGACAGCAATGTTTTCTTGCTATTTTTGTCTCTGAATTTTGCTCGGCACAATGCTGCTTTTTGCATCAAGTAGTGAGAAAAGAACATTTTCTCAGTCTGAGACTAACATTCTTGTTTCTGCTGCGCCTGCGCACTTCTGATCTCTTCGACCAATGACAAGCAGAGCGGGAACTGCTTCGAACGGTAACCCGGTCCCTGATTGGCTGTGGCCTGCCATACTGAAGAAGAGCGGCGCGTTCCATGGCTCTCTCTCAAACGCGTCGGAGCAGCAACTGCTCTCGTAGCACAGTGGTAAAGTGCCAGCCCTCCTGGATAGTAACCCGGGTTCGGTTCCCACCGAAGCGCCACCAGTTTTCTCTGGCCAATTTATCACGTAGCCACCCAGAGAATGGACGGGAGTGTCAAGATTTCCGAAAAGGAGGGGGAGTAGTTTTTTCGAGTATTTTTGGTGGGGTAGAAGGGGCACTGGCAAAAGATAAGACTGGCGGAACCGAACCCGGGACCTTTGACTTTCCGACGTAGGCCTTAACCTCCAAGACTGCCGGACATGCCGAAACGTGTTGACGCACGCACTGCACATAACACAAGCACTTGCTTCGAATCCTAGCAGAGGCAACTTGTTCCCGGCGTGAATGGCTGTCGACGAGGCGGGCGCGTGTTGCATTGAGGTACACGATTAATGTAGTCACCATCGCCGCTCAAACCACGGGAAAAAAATTACCGTGGTGCCGGGACTCGAAGCTGGTCCGCGGCTCGAGGCTTGCCGTGGAACGCCGCCTGAGCATCTCGGACACAGTGGTATCGATTTGGAGGCTCGACACCATTAAACTAGGGGTACGCGCCGTTTTGAGTGGGCGCGTAGTGTGGCTGAGCGATGCGAATTTGTGCACTTCGGACTGCAGCTTGTGGGCTCATATTGAGTGAAATGTAGGTCTAGGGTATAAATGGGAGTGATTTTTGTTATCAGCATACAAAAAACTGTTGGGATCAACGTCAAACTCGATTCCAAAATTTTGGTCCAAAATTGGTCAAAATTCGGTAATGCGTGAGTCTGGGAAAAATTTGGAAGTCATTTTTGAGCTCAGCGCACCAAAAACTGCAGGAAACGATAAAAAACTTGATTTGAAAATTTTGGTCCAAAATGACCTAATTTGGGATGAAAATATAAGTCTGGAGTCAAAATGGAGGTGATTTTCGTTATCAGCACACAAAAAACTGTTGGGATCAACATCAAACTCCATTCAAAAATTTTGGTCCAAATTTGGTCAAAATTGGGTAAAGCTTGAGTCTGGGAAAAATTTGGAAGTTATTTTTGAGTTCACCTCATCAAACACTGCAGGAAACAATATAAAACTCGACCTGAAAATTTTGGTCCGAAATGACCTAATTTGAGATGAAAATACAAGTCTGAAGTAGAGATGGAAGTGGTTTTCATAATCAGCACTCCAAAAACTCCAAGAATCAATATGAGATTCGATTGTAAAATATTGATATCAAATTGATCAATAATGGGTAAAGAATGGGTCTGGGTTTGTCTTCATGGATTACCCTTTGTCGTCACCAGTACCCTAATGCCACACCAATGCGATTCCTTCAGTCGAGTAACATTCCATTGCCAGCATTCAATCGCTTAATTAGCTACTCGTCTGCTTGACTCACTATTCGATACATCTTTTTCTTCAAACTAATGAATTCACAAATTTATTAGTTATATTTGAAAAGCCTTTTGTCATTCTTTCATTTAAAACCAGTGAATTGAACAATATAGACTGGAATATGTAATCATAGTTTTAATTAAGTGACTCAGTTTAGGGCAGGCTGATCTGAAGCATTCGACGGAGAACAAGTTTTGTCGAATTCAGTGAATCGTCTCATGAAGTCAAATGCAGAGGCCACTTGTTGCTCAATACGCCACCTTAATTTACCTTATTCATGCCTCGTGATATTTTATCTTTAGAGTAAAAGAATACAGTATAGTATTAACATTGGGCTTACATTCAGAAAGCCAGCTTTCAAATCATTACCAATACTTGGTTCCAGTTGTCGGACACAAGCTTTGGTGAAGTGAAAGGAATCGTCCCATTAAAAGCAATTACCAAGTCACCCACCGCTCAAAACCTGAATCGTCTCATTGAACCCAATATCAGTTCAAAATCTGTTAGCACTAAATATATGGATTATTTATTGCACAAAATACATCTATTTATGGATTCTTTTGATCAATAGATGTAAGTACTAGAATATTTATGTTAGCTTGCAGCATTGCAATAGAGTGTCATTTCCCCGAGACAAACCAAGACAATTAACATGTCTTCTAATTTCAACAGAAGTTATTCATGCATTTACCTGATTTTATTGGCTGATTTACTATGAATTTGAAAAATTAGGATAGTATCAGAGAGAATAAAATCAGTAGATGCACACAAAGGCAAAGAAAACATTCTATTTACAATCCACAACTACACTCAGTGCACTGACCTGTTCCCCTGTGACGGGAGAGGGGGAAGAGGGGAACGAAACACGTAAACCATTCTCACATTTAGTTTCCGTATTTTTCTCTGTTGACACCCCGGAAGATTTTCAATCATTCTAGAATGTTAAAAAACTATCTCAGTACCTATTTGAGAACCCCTTTGCTCTTTAGTTTGTTTATTTGCATAAGTGCCGTCCCGTCTTGCAGACGGCTTGCAAGCGCGGCAGCCAGTATGAGAAATTGGTCCGCCACACGCTGCTACCTAGAGTCCTAAAGGCCCTAAAGGGGAGATCCGCGAACCGCGTCTTGACTTCTGACCGATTTTGGTGCTCATACTGACGACCAAAATGTCCGCCATGCGCTTCCGCTTCCGGCTTGCGTTTTTAAGATTCGTCTGGCAGAGCCTGAAAACGTCTAAACAGTTTGCATCTGACGTTCAAGAACTGTTCAGTTGACTATTTTAGAGAAATGAGGAGCTTTTAAGGCCTGTTCCAAGCGCCGTCAAGTCCCTTGATCTCAAGATGCCTCAAGCAGACGACACAACATCAAAACAAAGCGTCGGTGACGAACAAAATGTCCGACGTGCGTTTCCGCTTCCGGCGTGGGTTTCTAAAATTCCGTGATGAGCCTCTAAACGTCTAAACTGTCGACATGCGATATTGAAGGGGTCTTCAATCAACTATTATAGAGAGCTGAGGAGGTTTATAGGACTTGTTCGGAGTGCTATCAGGGCTCTAGGCTTCACGAGGCCCCAGCAGACGACACACTATCACAACAAACTATGAGGAATTACGCATAGCACTTTCTTAGAGTATGAGAAGCAAAATCAGAACATTTTCCAAGTTCGCGGATCTCCCCTTTAGGGCCTTTAGGACTCTACTGCTACCAACCTAAACACGCTAATTACCTAGTTCAAAATGATGTTTTGAATATTTCAAACGATGATAATTGTTAATCTGAGATAAACTCCCCCTGTAGGATGTTTAGGAGACATCAGGTGTGAAATTTGTATACTATTCGTTCAGTAGTTGCTGAGAAACGTGA